AGGATGACTTTTTCAAACGAGACGTGACAACCTTGCTGTGCACTTGGCGGTCTTGAGCCAGCGACCGTCACATCTACCAACGTCTTGTCAACAAAATGCAATCATCTCCTGAAAAATCAGATTACAGGCCGTGCTTCACATTTCTAATTTGATTATTTCATCAGAGCACTTGATCCGAAGACAGGCAATAATTCACTTAATGGCAGCCACACTTCAAAAATACACCCGTAATAGCAGGAGGATATGGTAATTAATCTCAAGCCAGGAAAACTGTGTTTTAAGCGACCTATTAGATTTGAGCCGGCTTGCCTGATGCATCGCAAGACGATGAGGAGCAGGAAAATAAAGCTGCTGCTGCTGCAAGGTGTGACGAAAAGGTCAACAACCTGGGATCAGAAACTGCTTTATAATACAGAAACATAAACACCAGATGCTGAAATATTCCAAAGAAGTGTGGCTTCACCTTTAATATATTTATTTTGTGCTGTCCTTATACACACACACAAGATCCAGAAACCTGCTCACTGACGATGACTAGCATTGTTTTATCTGTCAAGTCGTCAACATAATGCGCTAAACCTTGAATGTGTCTGTGATATATAAAAGAAAAAGGGACACAGTCCTTTGCTGCTAATTGTCAACTCAACTAGACAAAAAAGTCAGAAAAAAGTTTTAATTAAAAAAAAGCAAGGGAGAGGAAAGTAGTTCAGCTATGCTAGCTTGACTTTGACACTTTTACATGTAGATGTTCTGCAGAATTCAGTGTGCTTCAGTTCAGTTTAAAAAATAATAAAAGGGAAAATAAGTAAACTCACATATTAACACTCTCAGAAAATCAGTAGAGCAGGTGTTGATATTAGCTAATAAACCCTCTCTGATCAGACAATCACTTATTAATAATCGCCAAATTCACATCAAACTTTAAAACTGTAATGGACTGAATGTTCTGTTTTTGTGTGGGAAATGTTTGCTTGTTTTTTGGTGTTGAATCCTGGTACATTAGTGGCATTGTTGCCAGTTATATTTTATGAAATAAACAGGTGGGCTTTAAACCTTGATGTAAAGCTGCAGTATGTAACTTTTATAAAATGAGTTTTTAACAAAACTGTTGCCATGTCGTGACAGTTTGTTATGAGGAAGATAATCTGTGAAAAGACTGAGCTCTTCACTGAGCTGCAATTGAAGAAATACTTTGCTGTCAACCAAACCAACCAATCAGAGCCAGGAGGTGGGTATCAGCGCTGTCAGTCTGTCAATCAATCTCATGTATGCACGGCTAAATGTTGGAGAAACAACTTAACGTTACAGGAAAACTGTTTATCCGCCATCATCGGTGGCTATGCTAACCTTAGCATTCACAAGAGGTTGCTAGCTGCAACATAGCTAGCAGCACAGTCACACTGAGATCTGATTGACAGCGCTAAAATCTGCCTGATAGCTTGTTTTACAGTTTGTTTTGAGTTTGTTTTAAGTACATTAGTCTTTAATATTTGATTATTTCACTTTACAATATTTTTTCCAATTTTATAAGTGAAATAATCTGCCAGTGGAACTTATACTTAAAAAAAAATCAATATTAAGGAATTATTGGCCTAAAATAAGCTTCTATATGTTACTGAAAAGTTACTTGTAAGTTAGTTTTGTCTTATTTAAAGTGTAATAATGTATTTGCATAAAAAACTAGACAAAAATACTTGGTAAGTTTTAATGTTTTTGGAGTGCTATACTGTTCTTGAATCCATTTTAAAAGCTGCAGTTGTAAATAATATTTATGTTTTTTTTTTTCTTTTAAATAAAGGTAGCAAACACCCGGAGTGCTAAATTTATTGTAAAGATCCAGAGAGACCTTTTTTCTTCCAGTTTTTCAACTTCTTTGTGATTGTAATATAAAAAACAGAGCACAGTAATGGATAAAACACTGCAGTCAGAAAGCAGAGGTGTGGCTTTATTATTCTGCCCCATTTATTTAGACTAGAAGAGAGTCCAGTGTAAACACGCTCACATGATCCCAGGAGGCAAACCTCCAATCAACAGACAGCTTTACCTACTGATTTCTGGTCGAAACTTCTCGCTCTGTGTTTACCTGCCTCACTGTGCTCCAGTCGATCTGAGCATGCTCAGTGCATCTGTGTTGTTATGCAGAAGAAATCTGGGTTTCTCCTCTTAGGCTGTCAGAATATTATAGTCTTGTGGAAGAAAATGAGGAAACTACTTCTGATATTTGATGTTTTTAATTTGGAAAAGGTTCACATGTTGATGTTTTAGTTGTACACAACTAAATATTTGCTCATTGAGTCACAGGAAACTTACATTTTTGAGTATTTATACAGTTTACACAGTAAGAAGTTGGAATTTATATTGAAAAATGTTGATGTTGCTTCTTTTAAGAGTATAATATCAGTTTTCCCCTCACTTTCTATCAAGTTACAACAAATTGTGATTTTATTCACTGTTTCCAATGCATTTGAATGCTATGGAAATATATGTTTTTATAAGAATTTAGACCTTCACTCACTTCTCTGAACATATTTTTGTTATTTTAAACACAACAGTGCATCTTGCGTCAAGCCTGATTTCACTGTTGCTTTTCCAAAATGTGTGAACATGTAACTGAACTCTGATACAGACCAAAACAGCGAACTCTGGTCCACCATTAAAGTTAATTCTGACACAGTTCAAATGCATATCTGAATGCCAAGCAGACGGGAGACTGTTTGAAAAAGCATCAAGTGGACTAAAACACAGGGCATTCTGGGTAATACAACCAAAACAAACGTGTGAATCTAGCGTTAGCGGGTGCTATGCTTCGTGGTCTTTTACCAAAATCAAAATAGAAGTCCTACAATTGAATCTGATGCCACTCCATTTTTGTTGCACTCAGTGCCGTCTTCTGCAGTTTTTGTGTCATTTCTTTCAGTGGATCTTGGTGCAGCACCCCCACAGGCGAGGAGGGGAACAGGTTTTTCAAAGGGATTGGTTGGTTTGACACAGTGCAGTGTGAAAGCAAACCGCAGCAGCTGAAAATTTAAAAAGTGTTGCAACTTTAGTCCCCAATCGAATCGAGTCTACTGGACTATCAGGTGTGAAAATAGCCTAAGACTCAGTGAAGCCATGGTGCCAACAGAGCAGTGTGATCCTGGGAAAGAGCAAGGAAATGAAGATCTGTGTTTGTCTGGAGGAGAAAAGGTGGACAGACGGAGAGTAGATGTGGCTGGTCCCCAGCGCCCGGCATCACACAGAAGTCTTTCTGGCCTGTCACTCACCGTCAGCTCATATTAGACGCCAAGGGAAAACCCACTGGGATAGAGACAGGGATGAAAACTGCAGGATTGGAGGGAGACCAGGGAAGTAGAAAGTATGACATAGACTGGAAGGGCCTGGAAAAATGATAAAACCCAAGAAATAATGGAACAACAGGGCAGAAAAATAAAACACGTGAGATAAATACAAATTCCTTGACATGGTGAGCATTTCCTTTTCAACAAGGAAAAGGAAATGAGTTGTTACTAAAACAACTCACCAGGATACAAAAATGATAGCTTTCCAAAGCAGTATTTGATCAAAACACACATTTTTGAAATGTGGACATCCAGACGACTTCCAGCAGGGTACTGCCAGGAAAAGTCCATCACCTTTTCTTGGTTAATGAAGTTATTCAGTCTTTGAGTACACATCCGCAAGTTGTCCATTGGTTTTTATAGTCATGGTTTGGTACATTTTCAGCTTGTTTCAGTCAAGAGAAACCAAAAACAACTTCTTCTATAGTGAACAAAAGATGCTAAACATTTTCGGACAATTCTGGTTTTGTCCATTTTGGAGTTTTGAATCATTGTTTTGCTGCATAACCTTAGTGTGTCCAAGTTTAATATCATGAACTGGAGGCCAGACATGATTTTTTTCATTGTTAGACATCATGGCTCATCATGGTTCTAGGCATTGAAGCAGCAAGCTAACCTGTCACTCTACCACCACTGTTTGACAGTATGGAGTTTGATACTGTTTATTTTATGCCAGAAGTTATGGGATAGGTTCCACTTTTTCTTGCTAAGCTGCAGGATATTTTCTCAAAAGTCTATAGGTTCCTCAAGATTTTTTTGGGAAGTGTTCGACAAACCTTTTGTCCTTTTTGGTTAGCAGTGGTTTTCACAATATAACTCTCTTCAATGGATACCATTTTTGCCCACTTTCTCTCTAATAAGTTAATCTCTTTAGCACTTTATTTATGGTCCTTTTGTGACTTCTTGGATGAGTGGCTGGTGTGCTTTTGGAGTAACTTTGGTAGTTCTGCCTTTTTTAGGGAATGTTTGCCATGTTTATCATTTTTCCATTTATGGAGCCCCACAGACTTACAAATGGCTTTGTAATAGTTTCAAGACTGATAAAATGAATCTCAGAAAATTTCTAGAAAAATCATGAAGATTTCTGAGTTTGGAAAGATAAAAATTTACTCAAAAAATAAATTTTGAAATTAATCTCAGAGATTTTCTTGAAAATCTTGAACATTTCAGAGTTTCATAAGTCAAAATGTATTCACTGAATTTCAAAAGTTAATTTTTTTTGCTTTTGAAACACAGAAAAAGTCCAAAGCTAGAAAGAGTTTTGAAACTCAGTCAAAATATTTTGAAAATTCCATATTCTGTAGAATGTTTTCGGCTTTAGGAACTCAAAATTTTCCTACCTTTTTCTAGAAAGATTCTTAGATTAATCTCTATATTTTAAAGCTTTTTCAAGAAACTTTCTCCAGAAAGTGATCTCTTGATTGTGTGAAATATGTAAAACAAAAAAAAAGGAAAAACATCGACTCCGTAAGGATGCAGATAGTTTTTCATAGATGGAGAGATAAAGAGAACTGGGATTGAGTTACAGGAGGAGGCGAAGGGCGGGAAAAAGAGGCGGTCGGCACGCGCTGATTGGAAAATCTCACATACGCGCACGCGCCAATCCTGATGAGTTGTCGTTTACCGCGGGAACGGAGGGAGGGGTCTCCTCCTCGCGAGCCTTTTGTGTTTCGAACTCTCACATCTTGCCTATCAATAATTGAGGCGCGCGCCAGAGAGCAGACGGAGCTTCCCCTCCCGCGCGCTGCTGCTATGAGTGCTGCTGTCCGCCCGCTCGGCGCGCGACTCTCCCTCTGTTTGTTCCGGAACAGGAGCCGCTGACAGGTGCGACAGGAGGAGGAGACCAGGTGAGCGACCAGGACTGGACCGGAGCGAACACCAGCGAATCCATCCGGGTCGGAGTTTAACCGTTAACCGCAGCAGAACGGAGCGGCTCGCGCAGGTTTAAACTTCTGCTATTGTTGGGGCTTTTTTTTTTTCTTTTCTTTTTTTTTTCTTTGTGGTCCGGAATGTTGGTGCTGTGCCTGCTGAGTGCCGCCTGGCTCGCTGCTGGCCCGGTTCGGGCTCAGAATGAGACCGAACCCATCGTGTTGGAGGGGAAGTGCCTGGTGGTGTGCGACTCCAACCCGACCTCGGACCCGACGGGCACGGCGCTCGGCATCTCGGTGCGCTCCGGCAGCGCGAAGGTGGCTTTCTCCGCGGTCCGGAACACCAACCACGAACCGTCCGAGATGAGCAACCGAACCATGGTCATCTACTTTGACCAGGTGGGTCTAAAAACATCTCATATTATGTTTTTCTTTTTTACGGTCCGGGGGGTTAGTGTCAGTTGATTTTGGGTCAGTTGACAGAGAAAATATGTTAAGTTAATAAATAATTATTATCATTATTTGTTTTTTCTGTCTTACGTTGATCCGAAGCTGTTCCGATTTGTCTTTTCTCAGAACTCTAAATACAATTTTTAACTCTGCAGAAATGATGGCGATGCACATTTTTTGTCCACCTCAGTGTTTTAATTGAGTAAAAAATACAGTAAATATTTTTGTAGATGTCATGTGTTTAACTATTCTGTTAAAATTACAAATCAGACCAGTTATTTTCTCTTGTGCATGGTAAACATGGTAAATTAATGATGGAATTTGCTAAATCGAGGGAATGTAAACTAATACAAAGTGATTATCTTTCTTTTTGTTTTTAGAAAACTGAATCCTTATTATTTCAGTTTTGTCAGCCTTTCCTTCTGGATATCATTCTTTAAATTGTTCACAGTCTTGCTTATTCTGCCATAAAAGATGGAAAAACTATTAATTTTTCCCTTAAACTGCATCTCAGTCATCATTCATAAAAGCAGACAGGCAGTTACAGAAATGAATGATCTATGATTTTTCTTTCTGAATCTTCCTTAAAGTTTATGAAAGAACGTAAAATTTGAGGTTATAGCCTCAGGAAACTGTTTTGATTTAGAAACACTTGTGATCATCTACATTTTGAGATTTAAAGTGAGTTTTTTTTAAGTTGGGTTGAAAAAAATTCACTTCTATTTTAAGTGTTGTTTTTTTTACTTAAACTGTTGTGTTCTCAAAGAACTACTTTTGTTTTCACAGAAACAATTTTACAACATGTTTTTTCTTTTCTTCCAGGTTTTAGTAAACGTTGGGAGGAATTTTGACGAGGAACGAAGTAACTTCATCGCGCCGCGGAAAGGGATTTACAGTTTTAACTTCCACGTAGTCAAAGTCTACAACCGCCAAACCATACAGGTAGCTCTTTAATAAGTCTAACTGTGTGTGTGTGTGTTACATGTGCCGTGCATCCGTTTATTTTCTTGTAAAAGTTTTACGAGAATCTGGTTGGAATCAGGAGAGCCGTGATGAACATGAATGGAAAAGCTGTTTTTCATAATTCTTTTAGCAGTTTTTAGTTTAATCAGACATAAACATGAAATTTAATGTAAAAATATTTGTGTTTTGCACCTCCATAGATGCTCTCTTGATTCTTTTGATGCATCAAAGCGCTAAAATTCATTTTTAGCCTTTGATGTGCTGTGCTAGAAACCACAGCAGAAATTACAATGCATCTCTCGCAAATTATATCGCAAGAAATGCAATATAAAGTGGTTTTACTTTATTATTATGGACCTAAATGAATGAACGGGCGATAATAAACTGGAATCCACCAGTCATGACTGCTTGAGGTAATTAAGACTGTATGGACTGTGCAGAAAATAATTTCTGTCTCAATCTGCTGCTTAAATTTATTTAATGTGATTAAAACAGCAGTTCAGTTTAACTTTTACTCAATCTCCTGCTTGGACGGCATCTCTCACTTCATTTTTTGAATATTTAAGCGAGCAGAAATACTTCATTTTCGACATAAACTGAAATCGTGTCCATCCAATGCGCCGCCCGTCATCCGTCCTGCACATCTGCTGCGCTCAAAACTCCCACCGCTTAATTGCCTGAGAGGCGGCCACCGTGGAGCATTCAGGAGATGAGAGGCAGCGGGAGGAAGAGACGAGGAAGAATGGAGAGCAAACCAGGGGGGGGGTACAGGAACCAAGATATTGGTTGAGCAAATAATTGGAGAAGATGGAAGGAGAAGGAAGAGGTTCAGAGAGGTTTGAAGAAGGCCACACATCTGGAGAAACCATTGATTAGCAGGTTTTGGATGTGGAGGGAAGAATAAACAGTTTTCTACCTGGATTTCTGGATGAAAATGTGAAAGGTGATAAAAGCCAGCAGTTTTCCTACCAATTAAAACAAAAATGTTGTAAATGAAAGGTATCTGATCTACCTGCGATGTGACCCTTCTGCTCGTATTTAATCTACTTCTGCACATCTTCCTTCAGATGCAACTGTTTTTATCTCCGGTGCCACACCTTAACAGACTGGAATAAATAAATTCACTGACTTTAGATTTGATCTTCTGTAGGGCTGCCGCAATAAACACTACATCAATTAATCGCCTGACAAATTAAAACAAGCTCAATTTCCATTTGGATGATTTATTGTTTTTCTCTTTCCTCCCTTCCTGCCAAAACTGGTCTTCAGTTTGGTGCTTTGATCTTGACTCGCTCTTTTTTGAAGGACAGTTTTCTTTCAAGACTTCGTAATTCATTTTATTTGTTGTTTCTGTTGTCTTATTTGTTTTTTATATTTAAAATGTCTTCCAGTTTCAGTGTTGAATGTTCAATAGAATTTAAAGCTTATTGGTCTTTGAGAATGTGCTCTTGCATTATTATGCCATTACTTGAAAATGGTCTCAAAACAACAATTTTATCGTTTATTGCAATAAATTCTGGGACAATTTATCGTGAACCTAAATTTGTCGTGGCAGGTATAGTCATCTATCAATTCAATAATTTCTTTAAATTGATTCCTTTTCTGATTCTGACCTCTCTCTTTAAAATAAAAATCTTTTCCACGTAAAACATTTATGATAAAGTTTTCACCAAAACAGTTTTTGTAAATAACTGCATGGCACAACAATCATTGTTCCACAAACAATGTTCTTGAACCACTTTAAAAGCATAAAGTGGACTATAGTGCACAGCATTCTGGGTGAATACAACCAAAATAAACACTCTAGTCTCACGCTAGCGGAAAAAATTTCTCATGGATTTTTACCAAACAGAGAAGAGAAATCCTCCAAACACTAAAATCTGGACCTACTCCATTTCTGTTTATATTTTGTGAAGCAGGAAGTTGCGCTCAGTGTTTTCTTCAGAGGTTTTCATGCCGTATTCATTCAGTGGTTCTTGTTGCAGCGCCCCCACAGGCGAGGAGGGGAACAAGGTTTTTCAAGGGTGACGATAAAAACAGTCACAATAAAAACAGTGCACTGTGTCAAACTGTGGTTCATTTGACACTGCAGTGAGAAAGAAAACCGCAGCACCTGAAAATTAACAAATGTTGCTATTTTGGTCCGAATTGAACCAAATCTGCCGGACTATCAGGCGAAAACACCCTTTATGTTGGTCAATCCACAAACCAGCTTCCTGTGGCTTTTAAACACTTTATCTGATAGAATTAAGGTCAACTGAGTCTCTTTGACAACAGTATATGCTGATGGAAGTAGCGGTACACTGATTGCAGTATTTTTTTTATTTTTTTGGCTGATAACCAGTCATTAAAAAGCTGATTTTTATTTATTTATATATTTATATATATATATGTTTTTTTTTTTGGCCAATATCAATTTATTTATGTCTTGGCTGAAAAGTCGCTACATATAGCATCTAAGTTAACAGTGGGGTTAACTTAGTGTCTGATTTCCAGACCAGAGGTAGATGAGATTGGTTTCTCATTGACCACTTGCGGATCTCCCAAAATTAAGAAAATCTGACTTGACTTATTGGTGCACGTCTAGTTGAAAGCACTGCAAAAACTGGCCTTTGGTAGATTCTCTTACCACAGGAACAAGAAAGCACTTTTTGGACGTTCCAGTCAAGCTGAAAACTTGTTTGTAACTTACCACAGAGATTTGACAAAACTAACTGAACAGCAACCAGCAGTGTCCACTAATCGCCCTGATGGTTCAGAGATTAAAGGATTTCTTCTGAAATTAGATCAAACTGACTCAACATTCACTTTTTTTTTCCTGGAAATTGAGCAGCAGAAGGTTTTGTGGTGAATTGGGAATAGTTTTGCAGATGTATTGTAATTGCCGGCGCACTCGGCATTTACATCTCGTGTTAATGCTGGGTCTGAGTTTTAATTGGGAGTTTCAGGAGGAAACTAAAACGCCTCCTGGGTGCATTATGGATCTGAAGGAACTGCTTCTTCATGCACCACCCTCATAATAACAGCGTTTACAGAAGGTCATTCTGTTGGGACTATAACATCATTACATGTGAACGATGAAGCTCTACATCTCTCCCAAAAACCACCAAAATGATTGTGGTTTCTATTATTCCCTCTATAATTCACATGCTACTTTATTCTGAGTGGGCCAAACAAAGCATGCTTTCTGTAAAATGTCAGAAATATTAAGTTGTATTCATGTGTTTTCAGTTGTTAAAACAGTCTAGAAATTAAAACAAACTTAATTTCCATTTGCATAATTATTTGATTTTCTCTCTCCTCTCTTTCTACCAAAGAGTGGATGATTAAAGTCTTCAGGCTGGTGCTTTGCACTCGACGAGGACTTTTCAGGGACAATTTTGCTTAGACACTTCATAATTCATTTTATTTGTTGTTTCTATTTATTTTGGATATTTAAAATGTCTTCCAGTTTTATGACTAAATGTTTAGTAGAATTTAAAGTTCAGAATGTGTCCCTCATATTACTGAAAAATGGTCTCTAAACAACAATGTTGTCATTGATCACAATAACTTCCAGGACAATTTATTGTCCAGGAAAATTTGTTATTGTGACAGGCTGATTCATCCTTGATTCCAATTTCTATTTATTTTTTTCTGAAATCAGTCTTTTGCATGGTCATCCATGCTACCAAATAAACTTTTGTGTGAACGGTTTATGACTTCGAAGCGATCTGCAGAAGAAGAACGTTGACGTCACACAGCAGCGCTCGGTTCATGGACGTAGTAATGGACACCGTTGTTTACAGATCGATTTTAAAGTTGTTGAGCAATGGGAGCTGATAATATGTCACAAGATCATAACAAGACGACACGGTGCGGTTCATAACAAGACGAAGGAAGCTCATGAAGACAAAGCTAACTGTTGACACTGCTTGCTTCAGCCGTTGTTTACGCCCTGATTTACTGCAGCTGGTTTCTTCTAGAAGCTTTCTGGGTGATCACTGATTATTAAAGGCTGAACTGCCAATTAAGAGTGACCTTTTTCTTTTTGGTCTGAAAAGTCAGTAAAATAGCAACAAAGTCAAGTTGACAAGTCAGACTGCTGTGGGGAGTAAAGATTGGAATATGGCTGTTAAGACTTCCATGAAGAAGTTGTTAAAATGTTCCCATGCTTTTGACCATTTCTGTCATTTACTTTCCACTTCTCTTTGGTATTTTTTGTCCCCCTTCATAGCTAAAAATAGTTATCATTATGACTGGATGATATGGCTGGAAAAACTAACACGATAAAAGCATTTTGTATAAGTCAATATCAATAGTTATTGATTAGTTTTGTTTTAAATATCTGACCTGCTGACAAACTACTGGCGTGACTTTTCCTGGTTTTATCCAGTTTTCATCCCACTACATTATAGCAAAACCTTAAACTGCTGCTGCGCATGTTTCTCAGCCGGTTGTTGCTAGGCAACCAAAGAGTGAGTGAGTTGTTGGGTAACCAGTGATTTGATTCCACCAATCTGGCTTGGTTAGCTTTGAGAAGCTAAAAGCCTTTCATCTGCCTACATCTCCCAGAATGCTGTGCGGTTCTGGTTCAGAGTTCAGTGAAAGTATTGAATATTCTGTCAGACTCGTTTTCTATTTCTCGGTGTAAGCGAGCGTCATTGTGCAACACACAGCCTTTGGGCCAGTCTCGGATGTTAGAACGTTGCCATGTGTTCATGTTTATCCACGATTTTTACACGTCTAACATTGATGAAAAAACGCCAAACAAAATCCTCTTTAATCCTGTTTGACTTTAGTTCTGCCTTTTGTAGGGGAAGTGATGCGAAAAAAGGTCAATAACAATTTTTGTTCATCCTAATGTTGAGATAAATATAGCTTATATAATATTTAGTAACTTTATTTTATGTCTAGTAATGTTTCTCCTAGAGATCCGATGGCATTCATGTTTCTACCTTACTGAGATCATTTTGCGTTTCTTCGTGGATGGACTTATA